GACAGTGGTAAAAACCTCAATAGAATTGTAATTTTCTTCCATTTCTTGTCTTCATGAAGGACTTTAAAAAGCAGATCTTCTGGGTTTGTTTCTTATGGAGTTGATAAACCTGTTGATTTTTTTACTTAGGAAAACCTTTACGACTCACTTTGCAAGCCTGTGATGTAAAGGGAAAAGAAGATAAATCAGGGCCTGAAAACCTCCTTGTGGAGCCATGGACTGGAGATGGTAAGAGCCTGGACTTAAAATCCAGAATATTCAACCAGACACAAAGGCTGTTACGAAGGCTGGGGTGCTGTTCCGTACATATATTTATATCTGTTTGATGTTACTTAATAATTTTATGATATGGAAGATCTGTAATTAAAAAAGGGGCAAAACAACAACAAAACACCCAAAAAACCCAACAAAAAGCCCCTGATATCTAAATTCTGTTTTACAAAGGGGATTTCTCAGGAGCCAATTGACTGATAAACCAAACAAAAAGATTAGATTTAGGGGAGAATTCTACATGGAAATCAGCAATGGGCTCTCACAAAGAAAATGATCCTGGAGCATGTTTTGAGGCTTGAAGTCATGAATCATTCACTGCTAGTTTCCCAAATATTGATGGACAGATTTGGTAGAAATCCTTGAAATTCTCACTGACTGCGCATAACTTAATTCTCCTTTCAAGCCTGCCTTTGTTAATGCAGTATTTTCATGTACTGTATACAACCTAAACAAAATTATTTGTGTTTCTTACCTCTTTTCTTAGATTAAATGCTACCTAATCTTATTTAAAACACTTGTGTCTTGTTTTGTGCAGTGCTACTGGTAAATGTCAGCTATTGTGATAGAAAATCAGGCACTTTCTAAATGCTTATTTTACCCTTCTGATTCCTTGTGTGTGGTGGTCGAGTTCATTCTGTAGCTCTCACAAAATCATAGAATCCCAGGTTGGGAGGGACCTTAGGGATCATCTGGTCTAACCTTTCCTCATTAGCATGAACCAGACTAGATGCCTCCTCACCCTGTATAGCTGAATGTTAAAAGTGTCCAATGTTGGGGAATCCACCACTTTCCTGGGGAGATTATTCCAAAGGCTGATTGCTCTCTAACTAATGAGCATTTCAGTAGAAAAGTGTTGTGGTTTTGTTTCCCCCCCACTTTAATCCACAATCTTAGTATTCTCTTTCAAACAGCTTGCACTAACAGTCATTCCACCCTCATTCTATTCCCACTGCTGCTTTAGGTTTTCTTACTGAAACTGGGAAAACCAGAGCAAGTATTATTCTTTCTACTGGAACTGAATCTTCATTTCAAGTGACACAAATTAGAATCAAGGTATGTAGTTCCTGTATGCTTTTGAAGCAAAAGGCTTGCTTGTGTCCCTCATGGTAGAGTTGAATTAGAGTATTTTTTTGTATGAACTGGAATTTTAAATTTGTCATGAAATAATGTTATTTTAGTGTTTTGCTTTGCTGTAAATCACAGAGAACTTAAGGGAGGTCTTAACTTGTTACAGGTCTCACAAGCAGGTAGTAAAGACATTTATGTTGCTTTTGTCTGTATCTTACAATATACTCAAGTCAGTGACTCTTAGGCATGTGGTATCTCTCTAAAGAGTATGGATTTATATGTCAGATCTTATAGCTTCTATTTAAAATAGTTTTTTGACTCTGTGAATAGCAGATGTCAAGATATATAGCATGTGAGTTCAGGTTAAATGTAGGTCTTTCAAAGTCTTTTTAGAGATACTAGTGTAATTTGAACATTTGGTGTGATTTTATCCTGTTTAAAAGCAAGATCTTGTGATTAAATCCCAGGGCCAGGACCAAGCTTCAGTGAGATTTCTGCAGCTGAATTTATTTATTTATTTAAGGCACAGCAGTAGTTTAATTTCTGAAACAGGGGTCTATATTTCAGTGTCCAAAACACTCTAGACATGGATGGACTTCTGGCAAGTAAATTCTAACAGGAGCTGGAGTTTGGGTGCTAGGAAGGTGATAAATATAGCAAATGTTAACCATGATGCATGATCCTGATTGACTTAGTTTTCCTAACACTTCTCTAAACGTATTTCATTTCTCTGTGCAATTCCAGAGATGAGTATTGTCAGTATTCAGTTGTTTTCCATAACTGCTTTTTTCCTGTGAAAGCAACTCCTTCTTTTACTGTCAGCTTTTTAATCCATTGCTCTGAATTTGTTCTTTTTAGGTCCGAAGGGGAGCCATTGGGGCCCAGTGTGGGCTGGTGTTTGCTTATAATAGTGCTTCAGAGAAGTTCCATGCGGAGGAACACTTCAAAAGATTTGAAAGCTATGACAAGTGGAAGCTGCGGGAGTTCAAACAGTTCTTAAAGAACAGGTACAGGTGGACTTCTTGAAATGAATACCTGCAAAATAACTGTGATATTAGATCGTTTTTAAATGCCATTTGAACTGCTGAGAATTGTTCCAAATGACTTAAGAATGATGCTTCATTGAATTGTTACTTGTTTGATTTGAATGAGCCCAAATGGGATGTGTTTGAGGCAATATGTATGTAGCTGTTGCTTTCAGTATCTTGATTTAAAGACTTGTTTAAAAAGGGATATGACAAAATCTGCATTCTACTTGAGGTGCAGATCACTGATCGCATAAACACCTTCTAGGAAGGTCATATGTTAATTAGCTTTTATTAAATGACTTTCTTGCAACTGTTGCTCAGGAGTGAGGGGAGGTTGGGGACCATGACTAAAAAGATTTCCTTAATTTTCTTACCTTGCACATGATAGAATTTGGGTGTGTGGAACTGTCCATTGTCTCTCTTCACATCCTTATAACCATAACATGCAAAACTATTCTGGTAGAGTATCAAGAGCTTTGCAGTTTCTGTAAACTTCACAAAGTTTCTTGCATTCTTTTATACATAGAAGCAGCTGCTCGTGTGATGACCTGGGGGATGATGATCCTATTGGCTGGTTTGAAGTGGAAGAAGAATGGGATGAAGTTGATGTCAAAATGCAGCAATGCAGAATTTCCCAAGTAAGGAACCATGAAAATCTATCGGACCAGTCACAGTGAGCAGAAGCTCGTCTCTGTGCTTTGTTAAAATGCCACTTGAAATAAGCTTAACTCTTACGTGTGAGGGCAGCTCTTCTGGGTAGAGGTAAAAAGCAATGAGCTTCTAGTAAAACATGAGTCAACTTTTATCCTCTGAGTTTTATTCTTTTTCTCTGTATGCACACATATGTTTAATGCAAAATTATGTGATAATGGGCAGACTTTATCATGAGGAGATACTTCTAAAAAGGATGACATGATTGTTGCTTTGTTCTAATATCTAGACAAATTAACTACTACATAGTTACAACATTTATTCTTTCAGAGCCAGATCCCTTGTTTTAAGGGACAAACAATTACTAAGCAGTTCCATCAGACTAATTCCCTTGAAGAATGGTGGAGTTCTGTTTCAAGAGAGGCTTGAACCAATAGAAAACAATATGGGTTTTGGTTTGTAGTGCTTGAGTAGGAAACTTTGCTTTTCAGATCCTACTTTTATCTCGTTTCTGGAATCAGCTGTTGCTCAGTTCCCCAATCCTTTTTGTACTGTGGGAATTAGCAGAAGTGGTGGCACTGTTAAAAGTCAACTGGGAACTTTTCTAAAACCATCACTGCTTGCTAGTCCCTGAGACTTAGGAACACACAGAGTTACTGAGTACATTTGGATGGCAGAACTTGCTGTTCTTTTCAGCTCTGCATTCTGTACCTCACAGTGGACAGATTGCATAAAAGTATGTTTTAAATATTACACGTTAATCCTCTGATTGCTTCTAAATGCAGCTAATAACTTTTTAACCTGCAGAAGTGCTGTAGCTATAGAACCAAGGAAGAGAGTATGCAGATGAATGGAACTGATAATGAATTATCTAACTTTGCAGATGCTTCACTGTGACTTTGTTTGAAAGTGACAGAATTCAGGCTCAGTATTTTAAACTTGTGGAAGTGATTGAGAGGGAAAAGGCTTGTTCCTCCCAGCCCCACCTGTAGTCTTGTCATATGTTTGTGCACTCATGTCTTTAAAAGCCAAATGTGTACTAGCTTTTAAAACCAAATCTTGTGCTGTGTTAATATCCTTCTAGTACCTGATGATAAAGTTCTTGTGCACAAGACAAGACACAGCAGAACGACTTGGAGTTCAAGGCCTGAATGTTCTTGGGTATCTTCGGCCTATGCGGGATGAGCCCAGCAGGAGCATGAGCTGCTTGCAGTGCAGGAAAACTGATGATGATACAGTTTGTGGCACAACTCTTCTCCTGAAGACACTTCATTTCATCCAGCAGCTGGCACAGGACCTGGTATTTTTACTTCTTAGTTCTTTTTAAGTATGTACATGCTAAAAGTAATAAGACTGTGCTAAAAGGAATTGTGACTGGATAAAGAAGATCTTGGTCATAGGTAATAGCAACTGTTAAAACCATGCTGTGGAGGAAAAAAGGGTTTCTGAAGAACAGCATTCTGTGTGTGTTTACTGATGTTGACTAAGAATATGCTCACTTTGGGTCCGGAAGAGGGTTAATAACCATTTTTCAGCATCAGGTTACAATGCTGGGTGAAGTAGATGCAACAGGAGGATGCTACTGTCTGTTAGATAGTGTTGGTATTTCTGAAGCAAGCATGTAAAAAATGCAGAGAGAGATAGCTAGGAAGGTCACACAGATTAAAACATACCCTCTTCTTGTCTGAAATAAATATCTAGGGTGAGACATACACAGTTAAGAGATGAGGCAGGTGTGTGTGCTGTTGTATGTCAGCATGATGTACCCTACTTCTGCGGATACGTGTCAAAATGTTGTTTTGTTCATGCAGTGCATGCATCTGTGCCTTTTCAGCTTCCATTCTGGACCATGGGCAGTCTCAATTAAATTACATGGAGAGGTAGAGGTAACGTGAAGTCTTTTGGAGGTGGGGGACTAGACATCTAGAAAGACGAGAGTCCTTATTAGTAGCTCTGTGAAGGGGAAGGTTTCAGCGTGAACTGTCACATTTAGGCACTGGAGTATCCGTGAAAGAACTCACACTGGAACTCATGGTAGTTGCAAGTATGTAAGAAGCTAGCCTGGTTTAAGCCCACTGCTCAGAGATTTACTTTTTATAAATGTGTTCTGTATAGAGTTAGTTTTCCAATCCTGCATTTTCTTTTGCCTTTTTAAGGTTCAACAGAAGGAGAGTGGATTAAAATACAAGTCCTTTTTAGATTTCACAGGCCTTGATTTGCAGCTCTTCTGGAATTTTTACAATAAACTTCACCAAAAGTAAGTCACTTCTTTACTGTTGCTGAAGCACTAAGCTCTGTGTGTATGTATAAATAACGTATGTTTCGTGTAGTTACAGCAGTTTCTTCTTCCTCAACTACATCATTTACATAAATAACATTTTCCTACTGCTGCCGTATGGGGTTTTAACTATAATGTTATGTAGAAGCTTGAGATGTAGATTAATTTAGCCAGTAGCTATAATTTTTTTGCCTATGTGCTCTCTACTCAGTGGTTTTTACCCATCTAAGATAGTGATTTTCACAGCGTTATCTATTTGGTGCAAAAAAAGCTTCTTTTCTAGTTTTTGCTTCTGTTTGTTTTATGCTTTTTTACAGCCCAAGGGAAGAATGTATCTTTGCTCAAACACTGCTATTGCAGCTTCTCCAGAGCTGCTTCTCTGTACTTACCGGAGACAATAAAACTGCTAAACCTCAAGAAACTTCTCAGAGTAAAACATCTGGTCACACAGAAGCTGCAAAAGAGCTTTATAGACATTTGTGTGAAGGTAGTTTACACTGAATATATTGCCTGTTTTGTCTGTTCTGGCTTAGAAGTGTATCACAACAGTTACAATTTGGGAAAAGATATTTATTCCTAGAGGCCAAGTCAGCTACTGTTCCTTTCTTTCTTGTTCAGGTCAGTGAGTACTAATAAGTCTATCGCAGTGAAACTTTCCTTGACCCTGTGAAATGATTTTATAGACATTCTGACAACATGGGGCCTGGAAACAGCTGCAATAGAAAACTTTTGAACATCACCTGCTTGAACCAGCAGGGAATGTGATCCTCTAATATAATGTTACTGGGGTTCTTTTATTTCTGGTATTTCATATAAATACAAGTGATCTTACTAGGAGCTTGTAAGGTTTAATGAAACACAGGGAAGATTCTGGAGCCAGCAATGAGAATGGGAATTACACACTAGATTTCATTGGAAGTAGGATGGTACTCTCTTTATTAAAGTGTAATTTTTTTGGTTAATTCCCTAATAGTCTCCTAAAAAGTGAGCTAAAGATGAACCAGTTCATGTAGAATCTGTCACATCTTGAAAACTCTGTTAGCTTTGATAGTTGTCAAGCCTTAATGTTCCTAGAATTAATTTACTTAGTGAACAAATATATCCTTAGAAAAATCTTTCTTGCTGGAAGTCAGAATGTTTCCCCTCATTTTCTGTGGGTATATTGGGATTGCAAGGGCTTGAAGATGTTTAAAATAACACTTGAATTCAGTTGTGCCTCTGACACATCAGATTGAGTATTAATTTGAACTTGTCATTTTCTTTCCTTTTTATGTGAGCAGTAGTGGATATGGGGGACAGTAACTTCATGCCAATGAAAATGCTGAAAGAGGAAGTTAAGAACACCTTACTCAGTGGAGCAGCAATCTTTTTCCCAGATAGACAGACCAGGCGACACCAGCTCTTCACCATGATGGTAATTATTAAATGAGAAATTGCTTTTTTAGCACCTGCTTTCTTTATGCAGGAAAGAGGACAAATCTGAGTTCTTGTTGTCAAATAATCTGTGTTTTGTCCCATTAAAGTAAAAACCTTCCTTTCTTTTTCTTTGCCTCTTTTTACTCTCCCCTTTCTTTCTCTCTGCAGCTTATCCAAAGAAAGAGGAGCTAACCCTGCTTTTCTTACCAAAAATGAATAGTAGAACACAGAAATTAGAACCCTTTCTCACAGAGGAGGGAAACAGAACATAGCATAAAAATAAATCTCTTTCCTTTTCTAGAAAAATATCACAGAGCAAGAACATAAGCAATCTGTGCATCTTGCCTTCAGATCCTTGTGTACTCACTTCAGGTAAGGGGTCCTGAGATGGAAAAGAATTGCCTGATGCCCTACATCTGTGAATAAGTTCATATTTAATTGGTTTTAGAGATGTTATTCCCCTGGAAAATAATTCTCAAAAGAAATCAATTGTCTTTTGCTTTAGAGAGGAAAATACTACTACTTCATATGTTTATTAACTGAGTAACTATATAAAACATTGCCCAATGTTGTATATTGCTCTTAGACTCCTCCTAGGCTGTCTTCCAGTTTTTGTAAGTGATTGTCCATGTTGATGGTTGCTATTGATTTAATCAGTCTGGAGTCATCAGAACCCAAACTTTTGATTTTCATAGTGATTATACAGTAGGATCTTTACGGGTGTATCACAATGATAACTCAATTTGTGTTTTGGAACTGTGCTGCTTGTTATTGGCTAGTAAGAAGATCTTTTGTTCTGTAGTGATCAAGATCCAGGTGGACTCCTATTATTACCAGAGAAAGGAGTTTCTGAAAATCTTGACATAAGTGAAGTGCTGTCAGTCATGGATACCCTTCTACTAGTGGCAGCAAGAGAGGTAACTGTCCTTGCACTGTTCCTCTTCCTACTTTGCTGTGGTTTTCGTATGCGTTGGAACACAAGCTGCATGCCCGAGATGTATGCTAAAGAAATGGCTTTACTGTCCTTCTGGATAAAACTATTCATGGCTGTTAAATCTCTGGGGTTAGGTTTTTCCAACCAATTGAAGTATTTTCCTTTAGGCAGTAACATTTCGTTATAGTAGAGTAACTGATGTATAAGATGAGGTATTTTTCTGTAGTGTTGAAAAGACTTTATGGCACCCTATCCACATTGGGAAGCAGAACTAATCATCCCATATCGAGAGGTTAGAATTGATCATGACACTAAAGGAGGTGTAAATGGAGGAGGCTCATTTACATATACAGAAAAAATGTGCTGAGAACACGGAGTGACTCATGTGTAGCTATCCCTACTTAACACTGTGCTTTATCACAACAAAATCACATCACTTGCTTCGTGGCATTATATGCTGCTTGTCATTTGCATTGAGTCTTCTTTTTGTGGGGTGAGTGGGATGATAATGTCCATCATAGTTGACTTAGTACATGTTGTGTGTCATTCTGCAGCAGAAGAGAATATCCTTTTGTTACATTCTTTATTTTTCAGTGTGAAATGATGATGCTGGATGTTGCACAGCAAGAGAGTGGCACAGTCTTGTCTTCCTTATTCTGGTCTGTTCAAGGTAGCCTCCTTTCATGGTGCTACCTGCAGCTTAAGGGTAGTGATAATTCAGCCAAGGATCTTGCAGTAGAAATCCTTAAAAACTGTAAGTGCTGGGATTGAATACAGAATTAAGTGTGGTGTGATACAGGGCTTTAAAATGTGATTTTATAGATTGCAGTATAATAAGGGTTCACCAGTGGTTGCCTGGAGCATACTCATAACTGTCAGAGCGTTTCTGATCGCTCTGGGAAGGAATTTGTAGGCATATTAAGCAATTCAGAATTTTCATTATACTGCTAATTCGATGTTGGGAGAATCTTCAGAAAACACGTCAGTGAGTTTTGGGGGCCAAATACTGAAAAACCCCCACTCAAACAACACTCAGTTACACTTTCATTTAGACATGTTGGTTTCTTTAAATGTCCCTTATTTTGATAAGCCTTTCTGTGTTGATACGTATTTTCCTTGATGTTTGTGATAGCACGAAGACAGGAACATACTTAAGAAGCTGGGCACTTCTAAGGGGTGTTTTGCTACAGTGGTTTGGTTTGGTTTTTTAAATGCAGCAGCTCAATATTAAGTGGTTAATTGGGCCTGAAGGTGTAATTTTATGTGAAATTACTTCATATTTGTTATTTGTGTATAAATAAGTTTGTTGGGTTCCTGTCTTGCATCTAAAAATGGAGTAAAGCTATAGCTAACACTAGCTAGCCTTACTTGTTACTTAAGCTTCTCTGTAGGGAGGCTACAGAATACACTGAGATTATTGAAACAATCTTGGAGTGCTTGATTAAGTTACTCATCACTCAACTTTTTTGTAGTATCGTTGCTAAGTGTGACATGTTTCCACAATAGAAATACCACAGAAAATTTCTCTGAACTGTTTTCACTCTGAGTGTCACTGCCTTGGGGCAGCAGATGCCTTTCCTGCTGTCTGTCCTCTTGTGCACATCACCACGCACTTAAGTGTTTGATAAAGCAGGTTGTGGTAGCAAATCCTTAAGGTGGCTATTAAGGGTTTTTTTTCTCTTTAGATGTGGGCCAGTTCCTGTCAAATATCAGAACGATTTTGCAGTCACTTTTATCTCAATATAGTGGCAAAACAATAGTAGAAAAAATAAGTAACTCTGTCTTTGCTATGGCAACTCGTCAGCTGGTAAGTGAACATTGGGGTTTTGTACTATTCCCGGGTAGCATGGCTGTGGTGACGTGCATCTTCATGAGACCTGTGTTTTCTCCTAGGTCATCTTCCTGTTGGATTTTTGCACTTTAGACATTCCATATTGTACTCTGCTACAGGGATTCAGCACTTTGATAGAACCACTGAAAAGCCTTTGTAGTGAGCCTCATAAGGTAACTAAAGATACATGCACTAATGAGTACAGTGAAACAAAAGCAAAATTGCAAGACAGACATGGAGAGCCCGGTGATTCTATTGGCGAGCATTTGAAAGGGGCTAGAAAGCTTCTAAAATCATGGGTTGCGTAATGAACTGTAGAGTGAAGACCTAGCAATGTATCTGTACTGATACGGAAGATGAGCAAAGGGACCAGAAAGTTCAACTGGAATGGGAAGCATAGAAGTTAGATAGGAAGAGGGATTCTGAGGATGAACAGGAAAATAGATTAAAAATAGTATGTGCTTAACACTTCTAGATTTATTGCTTGTGGTGATGTAATCAAAGTCTGTATGTCTGTAGTGTAGATCTTTAAATCTGCATTAGTCATCCAGGCTCTCTTGTTGTTACCTTTGGAGACTTACAGGCACTTCTCGGGTGAGCCTGTCTCCTCCCCCAGGGACTAGATGAGTTTTGCTTTTGAAGTGCTTCCTTACCATTATTATCAAGGGTGTCTTTATCACTAGTTTAGTCGTAGCCTTTTAAGTGCCACTTTGTATGTACATCTGGCAACTTGAAAGTGTAGACACACAAATCTAGTGTGATAATCTTTCAGATTTTTTTAAATGCTCTACATTTGTGTCTCAAGAATACATCTTTGTCCTACAGATGGAAATGGAGAGCTGGCAGCAAGAACAGCCTGTGGTATTGAGAACGTGGACAATGGAATCGCCTCATAACTATGAAAATAATTGCCATGAGGTCTCAGTCTTCCTATGTCATGGGGCAACTTACTTTGAGGTGGAATTTGATGAAAAATGTGAAACTGAAAGGAGGTAATTTGGTCTTGTGCTGTGTTAGATTCCAGTATCTACCTGCAGAGGGGCAATTCATGTTTCAATGTGCAAGAAGTGCTTCCTGTGCTCCGAGCATGCATTTTCGATTTCTTCATTATCCTGTGTAATCTAGAATGTGTATTTTGAATGACTTTTCCTGCTAAATGCCACTTCTGGCAAATGTACAGACATGCTGTTCATACAAATTTTGCTTCCTTTGGTCTTGGTCTGTTCTGTAATATTACTGTGACCACCACAGTTTGTGCTTGTGGGATTTATTTTGCCCTCTTTAGGCAAAAATATTGGCTTGGTTTCTCTTGGCAACATACTCGGCTACTGCTTAGTTAAGGCATATGTTGGATGTTAAAATTAGCACCCGTTACCAATTCTGAAGGGTTGGGAAAGTTCTGCAGGAAAGCAGGTCTGTGTTTGTTGGGACTGTTGCATTGAAACATGAAATAAATCCATAACAGTGATGTGGAGCAATACAGGTGTGGTTCAGAAAGATGTGACAGCTCAGATTCAGTGCTTCTGAAAATCCAAAAGCAAACATTTTCCCCCAAAACTTAAAAAGTAAATTTGGAAGTAATGAACTGCAATTTTCACAGGTATGATTACCTGGAGTTTACTGATGCAAGAGGTGCAAAAACTCGTTACGATACAAAGGTTGGCACTGACAAGTGGCCTAAGGTGAGCACCTTTACAATTCTGAACCAAGTGATATATCCAATCTTAGGAAATTCTTATGATTCTTGTAATTGTGTAAAAGGATGTGTGCTTTTGTGTGTGTGTGTCTCCCTCAAAGGTGGGGGACAGGAGATGAAGAAGAAAGTTTGCAGTGATGCAGTTAAAAGGAGTGAATGAGTAATAAGCCCTCTTTGTTGCTGTTATTGAAGGGGCAGTCAGGTGAAATGAAAAGTAATAATCATAGAATCATAGAATGATGTTTACCTGCTGTAACTACACGGGTAAAAATTACTTGTTGATGCTCAGCCTTCACAATTTTTTACATCACGAGACAAGAGTAGTGCTCCCTGTGGCTAAGCTCTTTCTTCAGTGACACCTGCTTAAATGGGATGCTTCTCTATGGTTTTATGGCTCTGACTTCTAAAGTTCCATCATCTATAAAATTTGGCATTAAGCTGTTAAATAGAACATTTACCTGCTTAGTATTGTGGGTGTCTCATTCAGATGGTGGGGGAGATTAGATCAGTTATGGACAGAACATAATACTGAAAAACCACAGTTGCTGAAGGAAATTCATTACCCTGAAACGTCTTCCTGTCATCTACATTTGGCAAAATGACTGTTTTGTTGCTCTGTAGAAAGTGACCTTTAAGGCTGGCCCACGGCTGCAGTTTCTCTTTCACTCTGACAGCAGTAATAATGAGTGGGGCTACAAGTTTTCCGTCACTGCTTACGGCCTACCAGATGTCGCCGTTTCTTGGGGCTTGGATTTACAGCTTCTTGTATCCCGGTTGATGGGGCGCTTGGCTTCCCGAAGTATGGCCCTGAAATCTCTCCGAGGTGAGTGCATTGAATAATAGCTCCAGAATTGTGATGCCATGTAAAGAGGAGATAGAAGGACCTTATGTTTCAAATTGCCAGCGAAAATAAAGTTCCTACTTTGTTTCTCTCTTGACTCAAGATGAAACACTCGTGTTTTGCTGCTTAACAAAGTTTGGTCATTGAGCCATACTCGCTTCTCGTGGGAAGCCTGGCTACTCTGAGAACACCACTGTGATTTCTCTAACGTTCAGAAGCCAATGTTAGGAAGACATGGACACCTGGAAGTACTGACACTAAACTGAACTACATTGATGAAGTAATATCAGAGTTTGCCCAAATCTTCTGTTTTTCCAGTTCTTTTTATCTTTAAAAATTGTTCCCTAGTGCTGTGGCCTGTCCACCCCCTTACTGGTGGTGTGAATGTGGAGCCAGCAAACCAAAAAAATATACAGAGCTTGGAGTACAGATGATTTCAAAAGTTTCTTAGGAACATTTGGTATTCATTTAAATTTGGATTCACAAATTAAGTTTGGCTAATCCCAGAAGTTAAGTAAATTTAGGATTTGGGCCACTGAAGATAAATAAAATACAAACCAGGAGATGAGTGCCATAAGAAATTAAAAAAAAAAATGAGATGTTTGGTTTTAATTTGAAACCCAGAACAATTCCATGTAGCTTCCTAAATCTGAATTCATGCACCACTTGGAAAAAGTCTAAACAAGGTTAAGGGTTCTTGCTGCAATCAGGTGGTCAGTGCTTACCTTGGAAAAGTGGGCAGGTACTTAGCTGTAGATTTTGGGAACGAATTGGAGAATCAGCTAGGTTGGAAAAGACCTTTAAGATCATCAAGTCCAACTATTCCCTAGCACTGCCAAGGCCATCACTAACCCATGTCACTGAGGGCCTCAGCTACACTGTTCGGGAATGCTTCTGGGGACAGTGCCTCTACCACTGCCCTGGGCAGCCTGTTCAATGCCTGAGCACCCTTTCAGTGAAGACACTGTTCATAGTATCCAGTCTAAACCTCCCCTGGTGTGGCTTGAGGCCGTTTCATCTTGTCCTGTCACTTCTTCCTTGGGAGGAGAGACCAGCCACCTCCTAATTGAAGCGTTCTTATCATAAAACATTTTCTTCCTTCCTTAATATGAGCATGCTCATACAGCAAATTATTATGTCTTTTGTAGGACAAAAAGCTTTTAAACTTACTTGCAAATTGGGAAATTTCTATGGTTTTAAGTACAGTGAAAATGTTTGATTTAAAGCTCTTCCATAATGTAAGAGCCTGTCACTGCAAGATAAAAAATTGATGCTATCTTTATAGCATGAAAGAAAGGCTGTATCAGTTTTCTGCATCACATTAGAGAAACAGAAGTTAGACAATATAGTTAAATTACTTGTTCAGTATATTTGCATTGCTCTTTTTTTTCTTTTCTCCACCCCCACTGAATATTTAACATCTATTGTTTTCATCAATCTGTAAAAATGAACAAAAATACTTAGTAACTGATGTGTCTGTTCTGAATTTCTTGCAGAACTAGGTAGTGAAGCAGATTTGCCTCCTTTGAAAGTAACAGCAGTCCTTAATTCTCCTCTGTGGAAACCTGTCTTCAGGCATCAGATGTGTCCTGAGGCACTCCTGGGAGCCAGTCAAAGCAGTAGGCTGCACCAAGATAACAAAGAGGTACTTACACCACTGCTTTTGTTTCACTAACATGAAATTCCTGTGTATCACACAGCTTCATTCAGACTTAGTTGGTATGTCCTTAATCATATGCTGTTGTGCTGAAGTTGTCATCACTTACGCTGTTTAATTCCAGTATCAAGGAGGAAAGAAACTGTTGTTCTGTGCCCTTTATTAGTTGCCATTTTCACAGAATGGTTGGGATTCAAATATCATCTAATTCGCCCCCTGTGCCTTGGGCAGGGACATCTTTCGTTAGATCAGGTTGTTCAACTGCAGTAGATAGACTGCAAGGTGACTTAGCTGTAGAAATGGGCTGCAACAATTTCCAGGTGATGCTAAAGTAAATGTTTTCTATCATTCTTTCCAGGCTGGGAGCTCTCTCCAAGACGACTGCCGTAACTTTCTTATCGACTTTGCAAAATCAGATCCTGCCCAGGACTTCAGTGGGCAAAAATCTGAACTTTTCAAAGGATTTACACAGGCATGTAAAAAACAGACCCCAAAGACAGATATAGTTGCTGGTTCTACTGTTGATCAAGCTGTGAACTCAACGTTTGCTGCTTTGGTGTATCTCACTCCAGATTTATATGAGAAGCTTCAAAAATATGGTAACTCTAATATTATTAGACTATCTTAATAATGAGGACTTAAAAGTTTGTGAAAGGCTATCTTACAGTTCAGTTTATAAACTCTGAAATACCAGTTTAGTGTGACAATTTCTAAACAGATACACAGTATAAATTCATCATTTAGGTAGACTAGGTAAGCCTTATCTCTAGAGTATTTAGTCTTTATTAATATATGCTTTTACCTTCAGAGCTCTGTCCAAATATTAATAACCATCATAAGCTATTACTAAGACTTATAAGGATACACCTAGAGAGAGTAGTGATGTTCTCTGGGGTTTTAATTCAGAACAGTGTGGTTTCCAGTGGTTAGAGATACAGATATAATTTTCCACTCTCTCTGTACCTTTCCTAAAAAGCCAGCACCAACTTGCATATGTTTTTAAACGTTGGGGATGGAGGAGATGTGAATTACCTCCCAAAATGTTACACTGTGGAATCTGACCTTGGTATCCTCGATATAGGTAAAGACATATATTTAACTTGCATAATGTCTGTTGTATTACCACTGATACATTTTTCAGTAGGCAAAATGAACAACTGCTTAACTTACAGCACCCTCCCATTAAGCTTATTGATATGTTTGAAGTGTTGGATAATAAGGTGGTACTTGGTTTTGAAAGGTTTCATTTTAGGCTTTCACTTTCTGTCACAACTTTTGAAGCTAAACAGCTTACATGTTGAGCTATAAAATTATGGGTGCAAATGATTGACACAAAGACTGACTTGATGACTAAAGTGGTTATTGCCTTTAGTCATTTTGTCTGTGTCTGACAATTGATCTAATTTCTGAGTAAGACTGAAAACTGATAGCTCAGGAAAATGTTAGTGAATGGATAAGAGATCCAGCCTACTGTTATGTTAATAGCTTCATCTGTCAGTCTTGCTGGGCCAGACCGAGTTCAGGACCCATGTTCACCTATACCATGTGAATTACATACAAGTGATGCTGGAAAGAAGGAGGGAATAGGAAAGGAAAGACCCCGAATAGGAATGTCTTTTTCTGCATAGTCATTGTCAGGCCACCTTTGGTGGAAACTGTTTTGTCAGGTCTTTAATTTTTATGAATTCATCTTTCTAGAAATTTATAACATAAAATAGACTAAAAACCTGGTAACTAAATGCATCTATAGAGCTTTAAGTTAATACTAAACATTTCTTGATTATACTGAGATCAGTTTACATTAGTAATACGTGTGTGTATAGGAAGAGGTTTATATTATCCATGACAGTATCAATTTTGGGAAGAGGACAGAAAGATGCTCATAATTTAACTTTGCAAATAACTGTCAAGATGCAGTTTATATACTTAAGGCATATGAAAGTTGGCAGGTTTTATTCCTTATTTTTCTTACAGGCATAACTCCAAGTATTGACTAAGAGACAAAGGGAAGGCTCTAGCATAATTTTAATTAAGTAGTCAAGTTGTGTAAAAATGGAGCTGTACATAAACAGAATTCTTCTTTCTCTCATTTCCAGTCAACAGTGGAGGCAAGGTGCCTTTGAGCTATGAGTTTGCACAAGTGTATTCCCTGGCTGATTCAATTAGAATATGGATGGTAAGATCACTCAGGAGGATATCTATTAATATCATTTACCTTAATATTTTGCAATACAGTGTTAAGGAGTAGGGTGGGACCATGTTTTCCTTCAGTGAATCTGGGTCAACTGTTTTTACTCAGGAAGAACATATATTCACTTCTGAACTGTGAACTTAAACATTTAAATGCATTCTTACACTTCCCTCCTTCTCTCAGTCCCAAATGTGTCATCATGCATATTTAGGACTGAATTTGGCTCAAAACCAGTTTAACTTGAGTTATTTTTCAGCAAGAATGTGTGTTGTTAATTAGGAAGATTCTTACGTAGCAGTTGGAGTTTGTTTGAGGTGCAGCATCGAAGGAAATCTGTCTTAAACATAATTCTCACAGTAATGCAGTGCTAACAGAAAAGGAAATAATTGCTTCTTTGACAAGCAAGCATCTGGCTTCAGTTCAGAGTACGTTTTCTGCATGTAATTTTCCTTGAAACATAAGCCTTATGTCAAGAGGTGGTGTCATCAGCTCACACAACCTGGTGAGAGGTGTCTGTGTCATCTCCTGCAACTGTGGAGAGCCAGAATTCATTTAGATTTCACTAGTCTGCAGGAGATTCTAAATGTTAATAACTGTGTGGCTTTCAAGAGCAGCTAATTCAGTTTATGGCCTGTTTTTCTGCTGCTCTTGTGAGCCCTTCAGATGTAGGCCATTCAAACTAACTGCTCTAGTATCTTGTGATCTCCTCTTTCCTGCCTGCAAGAATTCCTGACAGCTTCATACACTAGAGATGCAATGAGTGCATGTTCATGTTGAGTAATTGCATCGTACCTGTTGCATGACAGGTGATGTTTGCATCTGACAGCACTCACTAGTTACATGACACAATCTTATCTCATGACTAAGTGTGTATCTTTTCCTGAGTGGTGGGGGTAAAGGGGAAGCCTTTCTTTCTTGGAGTGATGATGCACATCCAGTCACAAGATGGGAAAGGGTCTCAGCCTGCAAACCTTGAGCATCTTGGTAGGAGGCTGTGTTATTTGCCCTGGTAGTTTAGGTACTGCTCTTCTTAGACTACTGGGTGTTTAGTTCTGCAGTAGGGAGTAGTAAATACCATCATCTCTTCCTGAGATTAAATTCCTTTAATGTGATGCACTTTTCATACTGCCTTGCTGTATAGATATATAGGGGAGTCATGTTTTAACTGTTTTAACATCCTGTCTACAGTTGGAAATGAAGCAGAAATCCCTGATGGGTAGGGCAAATGATTTTGAGGAGAAGCAGAGCACAGAAGCAAGTGAGGTGAACCCAGAGACTCTTGGTAAGTGTTGCTTTTCCAAATGTATAATCATTCCAGGTAGTTGAGTAAATCATTGCCTTGGGAGTCTTTGACGTTATTTTTGCTGTAAAAGGTACATTAGCAACTGGGGCTACTTTTTAATACCTTAAGAGATAGTTCATATAATGTAAACTAGTTTAACTGGGATTGGGTTCTTCTGGTCTTTGCAGAAAATAGTACATGAGAATTCTACAGAGAGTGAGCTCTCACTTGGGCCACCTGGTTCTGAACTTGCGTTCGTCTATTTGTGTAGATACTCATTACTATAATTACCTGATGTTAGAATAGCAGCTGGCTGTTATCAGAATAAGATGTGTTCTCATTGACTACAGTGTACTTTGTATGGTTCAGTGTGATTATTCAAAGTGAGCATTTGGAAATCTAAAATTTAAGTAACTGATAGTGTCATGATCACTATAACAAGAAATCCAGTATTTTCTAACTGTCTTGGCTCAGAAGAAATCTGATAAATCTCTTTCTTCCTAAGCAGAAGACAGCAAGTTTGGCGTTCTGTTGTCATGATTGTAACTCTTCCAATTTTTATGCTGCAGCAAAACTTTGTATGCAGAAGAGCCTTTTATTACTGAATTTTTTGCCTGTAAGAGCGAAGACGAAAGATTCTGCTTCAGACAGTTTGGAAGCCCAAGACATTGATGATATCCAACATTACGTTGGTGATAAATGCCAAAGAAAAGGTTCTTTTGTGGACACGGACTTCCAGGCAGCACATTCATTGTCATCCAGTGGAGTAACGCCTCCTGTTTCAAAAGAGGAGAGCCAAATGACGCTATCTGATACAAAGATTAAACAACTTCCAGACCCCCTCCAAACAGAAGCAGAATCTGCAATTCATAGTAAGCCTGTTGAAAGTACAGTTTCACAGCAAGAAGATTCATCATCACCTCCTTCCACTCCTACGCGAAAGTCTCAGTTCAGCCGTGGAAGACTAAGGCTGCTGTCTTTCCGCTCAATGGAAGAGCCAAGACCTGTGCCTACTGTGAAGGCAAAATACCCCATATTGAAACACATATTAGACTTTATTAAGGATCAATCACTCTCCCATGAAAGGTAAGCAAATTGAAAATGTCGCCAATTATAAAATGCAGAAACTTGTCTTCACACCTCTTCAGGTGCAATAAAACACATTTTAGCTGCAAGATAGCATTGAAACGTGTTTTTTACATGAATACATTATGTATCGGACTTCAGTTACTCAGAACCACCTTGGGGCTCACAGAGGGTAGGGTTTCCTTGGATGCACTTCTGCCATATAGAACTTCAGAATGGAAAAAATAATTACTTGGCAATTTATTGTCTTGCTTCCTGAGATCTGTTTACAGTGGCATTTTGCTTTTTGTCTACAAACAGCAAAGACATGGTACATCAGTACTAGCAATCCTCGATACCAAATACAGGATAGTTGCACCTCTCATTAAATTACCCAGTATTCTTAAATTGTAAATCAAAAGAGAGATTTCCAATTCTCGGCTTGTCTGGTTTAGGCTCTAAAACTTGGACTGGTGCAGGAAGCTTTGGGTTTTGTTTGAAGCTTTATCACTCCAACTGTAATATACCACTGCTGCAATACAACTGAAAATTAAGATACCAGTCTCTTGTTTAATTAGTCAAGCACTTCTTGTGCTTGAATTATGATTTATTTGGGTTATTTTAAACACAATGTTTTGAAGTCTTTATCGATGTTTGTTGCTTTTCTTAGCGTTTTAAAGGTTCTTGCTTTGAGAAAATCCCAAGGGCAGAATATTATGGAAGTGCTCAAGACAATCCGCCAGTGCCTAGACTCCCTTGGGCAGCCACACTGTTTTCATCCGCCGTGTGTACTTTTTCTCTTAGAACTTCTAGCCTGTCAGAAAGATTTTACAAAGTAAGTAATTATTTAGTCAAGTCTCAGCTGTGTGATTTAATGTTTTAGTCTTTGCGTTCTCCAAGTCATGTATATTGAAAACTGTAAAGTTACTGCTTTTTAATTTATATGGATAATAACTATATGGCCTGAGGATTCATAAAGTTACTGCTTTTTAATCTATATGGATAATAACTATATGGCCTGAGGATTAGTTTTTAGGCTATTATGCATATCTTACATAGAATCATAGAATAGATAGGGTTGGAAAGGACCTTGAGATCATCTAGTTCCAACCCCCCTGCTTCACTTAAACAAATATATTTATTTTCAAGTGAGACTTAGTTTTACAGCTGTTTATGTTGGTAGGTATCATGTGGTTGAATCAGTGCACATACCTAGAAACACTTTTAAGTTCCAACCAGTTCACAGCAGACTCAGAAAGATTGTAGAGTCTTTAGTTATTGCTTTAGTTTAAGTTCCTGTCTGCTTTTAGATTGATTTCTTTCTTGTCCAGTAAAGCTGTAGTGCTCTAACCCATTTAACTTGCAATCACTTATGTGGCATTGCATCTTTATGTTTTTTGTGAGCTTACCTTGTAAATCAAGATAATGCCTATCTGGCAGAAGAACTAGAGTCCAAGAATGGTGGATGGTTTATGTTGTTGGTCAAGCATTGGATTATTCTTGAGTTTTCATAACTTTGGATGTGATACCTGTACAAGAGAAATGGAGGGTGGTGTATTTCACTTGTGTGTCAGAGGCTAAGGTGATGGACCTGCAGGCCAAGGTCTGCAGTGCTGCTGGCTATGTACCAGTTGCAGGACATGCACATACATGCAGGAAAAGGAGGCAAAAAGCATCATATTGATTATATGGACGTGCAGTTGGTTTGTTTTGTTTGGTTTTTTTAAAGTAAGGAAAGTTAATTTGGAAGGTTTTTTCAACTAGAAAGCATTGTCTCAAAGCAGGAGCTCTTGTTCATGAATTGGGTCTGACTTCTATTGTGTGTCTGGACAGTGCTGCCAGAACTCTGTCAGCTGGCTTCTCACTTGTCAGGAGCTTTTTATGGTCATCTTGCAGTGCACTGATTTCCTTTAAGTCCTTGACTAGCTTTTTGTAAAGCACCTTTTTTAATTTGAAGGAATGTTCTGTCTTTAGTGCCACCAGAATATTCTCTGCCCGTTCTGTTTCTTAACTTCTGATTCCTGTTACATGATTCTTTCTATTTTCTTTGAAAGTGATAGACTCCATTGTAAACCAAATGAACACCCTTCCCACTGTGTTTAAAAGATTGCCTGTTTGTAACGTTGCACAAAGCATGCTACCTAAAATGTAATGGCAAATTCTAGACTATTAAACTGACTCTTCAATTTCTAGCTACTTTGGAAACTTGGAAGGGTGTGGTGCTGAGCTACACAAAGAGATTCGAGAGTCCTACTACCAGCTTGTTTTGTTCCTGGTAAATTCTGTGAAGGGATTTAGTACTATTAATGACAGGTACAGTACATCGCTTGCATTACTTGCATGATTCTTTTTTTCTGTTTTTCCTCACCTCTTCCCTTCTCATTTGTTATTTATTGTTCAGTGCCTTCATTTTGTCCGTACTTTGCCTTATTTACAGAACTAAAGAAGGAGCCTTGATCTTGTGATCAAAAATGCCAAGTTAGCTTTTTATTACTACTATGCAGGAGAGCACAATAAATTGATCAATGTTAAAACCTTGACTTAATGCATTTTGTAGTTCTAATTCTGCAATGTGTTTCTGAAGCTTAGTAGTAAAATACTAGAAATAGCAAATTTATTGTGGAATACATGAGCAAGAGTAATGCTATAATAAATACAGCAATTCTGCAACCAAGCTTTAATGTTAAAGCTCATGTTTTGAAAACATTCTGGTTAGAATTTTGGGGGTTAATAGCCAAGTGTCTCAGAGAAATGAGAATTTTGGGACTACAATGTCAGTCTCCCTGCCAATAGCTCCCAAGTCCTTTGAGTTTCAAGTGAGCGTGGCAAAGGTTTCAAAGAGAACAAGTTCCTGCAAATACCAAGAAAATGTACTGCAGAGAAGAGACAAACCCTCTTGTTAATGCTCAGGCAATAGCATGAGCTCTTTCTCAGCTGAATCTGTAAAGGATACCATCCTCATTTCAAGTTACATTGGGTGTGCTTCTTGCTAAATTGTTTTGCATTAATAAACCTGAGTTTCTGCCACACTGTTAATTTAATGCATAGTAAAGCCTGGAAACCAGTGTACAGTGGCTGTCTGCCCTTACTCCCCAAAGATGCTATTTCAGCATTAGGTTAGAGCTTTCATGTTTTACTGTCTTGTATTTTTTTAGATCCTTGCTTCCTGCCTTATCATGTGTGCAGACAACTCTCCTTCACCTTTTGGATATGAGTTGGGAACCAAGTGATCTTTCCTTCTTTGTTGAGATTCAGTTACCACAGCTTCTTATGACTACATCACAAGAAAACATAAGTATTCATGACAGCATCATTTGGTGAGTCAGGAAGAATGCAGGTTTTACATGGTGCTAACTATTGATACTGTTTTTACCATGAAAGGCTGCTGAACTTTGTGCTGGAACAAGCAGTAAAAGTGCCATTAACAAGTATGGCATAATTCTGGGCATGATCCAAGGGCTTAACTGAAGTATTTGAATTTTTTGCAGTATTACCAGCACAAAAACTAAAATTGTATCTTTAACCTGATTACTGCTGGAACACTTCTCTTGTTTAGCAGTGTAGCAGGAGGTGGATAATGTTGTTTCATGTCCTGATAAATGTCAAATGTTTTTAACCTGCATGTTGCAATTTTATAGTAGTTGTACTTCTTACACGTGAGCAATGTGAGGCCCAAAAGCTTTTTCAGTGTCTCATCTGATCTGCCAGCATTACCAGAAGCACTTTTGGAAGTGTAGATTTTTCTGATTTTGCATTATGGTTCTCCATATGTATTTAAGAACTTGTTACAAAGGCAAGAAGCAGGTGTCATATGGTCATTTATAAACCAAGTGAACTGCAGTTCTCACCATTCTGTTTTTGTTAGCATGTTACAGCACTTTGTTCTTTAAAAAAACCCCAGAGTATCCCACATTATATTAGAGGGAAGCCTGGTTGCATTCAAACTGAATTTTGAGCTTGCTTTTCTTTCAGTCAGTGGAGTGAAGAAGATGAAATTGCAGACTACAAACAAAACTGTGAGTGGATGGATGAATGTCAGGATGTGATGTTTGAGACCTGGTATGAAAAGATAGCTCAAGCTGACCCAGAGAAGCAGAGAAAGGTGAGCTCATGATTTGTTTATCTGTAGAAGGGGTAAATAGACTTATAAAAGCCTAAAGGAGAGAAAGGAATCTGGCTTAAATTTTTTTTTCATTATTTGGGTCCCTAGCTCCCTGCAGGCCTTCAGAAGTCTAATGATGAGAAGATCCCCATCTTTTTCGGCAGGGGAAGTGTTCTGCTTTCTGTCTAGAAAGAGCTTTCTCAAAGTCAGAAAATAATACTCAAACTGTGTCCCTCTATTGCTCTAGATGCACATGTTTGTTGCTCGTTACTGTGACCTGTTAAATGTGGACATATCCTGTGATGGCTGTGATGAAATTGCACCATGGCATCGCTACCGCTGTCTGCAATGCAATGACATGGATCTGTGTAAAACTTGTTTTCTTGGTAAGAATCATTTAAAAAACCCTTAAAACCCCATCTTCAAAGGCAAAAGAATGTCTTCTAAATTCTACATAAAGTGAAAGACTTCTTCTGGATACTTCAGAAATGTCAAGAAATGTGAACTTGCAGTTAAGAAAGATCCTTTATAGAAAAGGGGTTTCCAGGGAAATCTTAAAATGCTTCATTATAGGTGGAGTTAAACCCGAGGGACATGAGGATGACCATGAAATGGTTAACATGGAGTACGCCTGTGATCACTGTCAAGGAGTCATCATAGGTCGGAGAATGAACTGCAATGTGTGTGATGACTTTGACCTTTGCTATGGATGCTATTCTGCAAAGAAATACTCTGACAGGTATTAAACACATGATTTTGTTTCGCTCACTTGGAAGAAAAGCAATAATTAGCAGCTAAGTACAATTGGTCATTCTCACGTTGCTTCCTACAACGTTGTGTCTGACAGGAGAGCACCTAGTTGGTGTCCTATGGGCAAACATAGCAAATATAGGACCAGTTCAGCAAAGATTTCTGCAGTTTGGAAACCCGTCCCAGCCTCTGAAGTAGCTCAGTAGCAATTGTTTTCTAGCCATAGCTGTGAAAGTTGCAGGAGAGTTGTCAAGCTTGAATGATAGAAGAAATGAACACTGCTGTGGTTAGACAGCATAGGTTTCAGTGCTTTGCACCGAAGATCTTAAAAAAAATAAGCCTACACTTGGAATTTTTGGAATATTTGGGTTTCTCATGGTTTCCTGCAAAGGTGTTGTGTGTAACTAACTATATGGATTAACAAGAAAGCAGCTGCATTTCAACATTTTGTACCTTCTTCTTTCAGTCACTTGCCTACTCACAGCATCACAGTGTATCCCATGGTGACTATTCGAATCAGTGACCGACAGAGGCTCATCCAACCGTATATACACAACTATTCCTGGCTGTTGTTTGCAGCTTTGACCCTCTACAGTGCAGATCTGGCAAATGGGGGGGAAATAGAAGGAGAGAAACTAGATTCGCAGATCCTCAGCCAAGCCAGAGTTGTGCAACATCAGTGCATACAGCTCATAGGAGACTGCTTGATGAAAGCACAGCATGGAAAAGGTGAGTCAGCTCCTCCTTCACTGAAACAATAGTTTCTAGCAAGTGTCAGAAGAGTCTGTGGTTACTCACTTTGAAGTTTCCAAAGGAAAGGGGAAGCTACTGTGTACTTCACTGAGAATAACTGTTTATGTAGAAAGCAAATGTAGAACAAGTGTCATTCAGGGTCATTGGAACATGGAAAATAGGGTACTTGAGAAAATTACTTTTATGGTTCCATAAATATTGAAGACAACTTGGCAACTCTTGGGTTGTTGTTTTTTCCATCTTAGATGTTGTAAAGGGATCAATCAATACAGCTTCGTGTTCTGTTACTAACGCTACTGACAACTGAAGGACTGGAATGAAAGCAAATAACTTGGTGGAAAACGTTTTGTTTTAGTTTTTTGTTCTGCATGTCTTGGCAAGAATTTTTTTACCTTATTTGTGGTATGAGAGAGGTTCCTGGGGATGATGGCTGTTTGTCTGGAAACAAGGATTTCTGTGAACTAAGACCACAGAACATAGGGCGATACAGTAAAAACTATGTTGAATACATCAAATTCTAGACACAAGTTCCAGTGCTCACTGTTAGGGTTTTTTAGCAGGTTTAATACAGCTGAAATACCACCACCACCACCAAATACTTATGTGTGCTCATTATTTAGTCTGTTTAACCTGCAATTTTATTGCATAAATATTTAAGTGGTCAGAAGATTAAAAGCTAAGACAAATAGAATTTACCTTTCATAATTTATACTGTTGAGAAGTTTACAGTTCATTTCAGTTCTGCTTTTTGCCTATTTTGCCTCTCAACAACTAAATAGCTCTTATAACTTTCTTGCTTTCAGGTCTGAAAAATTTAGCTCTCCTCTGCATGTTACCAGAAGGTGAATCCTTCTCAGAGAATGACACTGTTTCAGTCAGTCCTCCCACAGATGGTGCTCCAAAAAGTCATGCTGGTGATAAAGCAGTGAAGGGAAAAGATGAGAAACCAACAACAAGATCTTTTATACATTGCAATGTAAGTACCTGTTATTTCCAAAACCCCGGATATCAACAAGGTGTGTCATCTTAAGAGGCTTAAACATCCTATTCTGGATATGTAACTGAAATAATGGGGAGTGATGACTTCATTTGTAGGTAACAGTTGGGGGCCAAGGGGCAGTTCTTGGTTGGCTCATGTTTTTTAATAGATCCAGCTAATCAAAGACACAGGTATCACCTTATATTCTTATAGGTAACTGATCACAAAAAAAGGGGCGAAGATCATTCTGAAAAGGTTGTTGTTTCCCCTAGTTGTAAGCACTGTATAAGTAGAAGATTGGGTTTTCTACAGTTTTATACTGTGTATAAAACTATTAGTGTAATAATTTTATGCACAGAGATACGAGCAAAATGGAGAAATGTATTTTTACTGTATGCAACTTAAGACATGTATACATCAAGCAATTGTGAACCAATAAAAGGTTCTGATATTTGAGGAAAAACCTTTGTCAAATGCAAATGGCTGGCAGCTTCTTTCCATGGTTGTTTCTGCAGGTATTAAATTTTGTTTTAATCTTTTAGTGCCTTTGTTTTATTTTTAGGGGAAAGGAGATACGTGTAATGAAATCCAGTCTCCTGCAGAAGATAAAGTAGGAAAACAAGGAAGTGAAAGCAAAGCTGTCTTTGCAAATAAAGCTGTTTTGAGACAAGAGTCAGACTTTTCTGTGGAGGATAATGTTTCTCCAACAGGTAAATATTATTTCTCACTTTCCCTGTCACAGAAATATCCATTCATATGCAAAGCAAACAGCTGTATATTTATTCCTAATCCGTTTTTGTGTATTTGCAAATGTCTTTAATGCAAGAGAGCTGTCTGCTTTGTAAAAACCTGCCAAACATACTGCTTGGAACAACCTTGCAGTGAGTTTAAAGGATTCTATAAAATCACTAGAATTCTACCGATACATATTCACATACAGAGATAATAGTTCCTGTTGGTCCAACACAATACTTTTGTATTCTCACTGGAACTAGAAATCAAGTGTTTTGTTCCATTAAAGACTAGTATTGTAAGAATTATGATAGTTAAATGGACCTGTCTGTAGTACTGTCCTTTATATGTTTTTCATAGATGGTGTAAATCTCTTTACCTATCATTTACACACTTCTATAAAAGATTTGCTTGTCAAATTTTAGTATTTTAAAGTTTGCGGGTTTTTTAATCCTTAGACTGTTAAAATTAAGCTATTACTTTTTAAAAGTATTTTTAATGTTATTCTGGGATTTTCTTCTTTTGTTTTAATCTAAAATGCAGATGACTGCCTCATAGACGATTCAGCCCAGAAGCAAGCAGAGAAGGTTTTAATACCTAGCCAGGAACAAGTTTTTGCTGAATGCTCTCAGAAGAGGATTCTAGGATTGCTGGCAGCTATGTTACCACCTTTCAAATCAGTTAGTTCTTTCTACATTCAATCTGTGTCACAAATAACATGAATAAAATTCATAGCAAATTAAATGTAGGAGGTGGGCTCTTGTTTGCATGTTATAAAATGCGAATCAGAATGTCTTAAGACATTTCACATTACTGAGGGGTGTAAGGGCTTGTTCCTGGGTGGAGGGAGAGGGTAGGGAATTTTAATTTAACTGTAAAGCAGTCTATCTTAACTGTTCAGCACCAGCAAAGTTTAAATCATCAACTTAAATTTACATGTCAGATCAACTTAAGGGGTCAACAACTGAAGCAGGAACCTAGTTTCTCATTTCCTTTTGTCCCATTTGAAAGAGCATTAGAACAGAAACTTTTGCATGTGCTATGACTTCGACTAAAACCCTTGTTTTCTTTACCTGCCTTAATGATATTTTTCTTTTTCTGTAGGGCTCCACAATGTCTTTGATTAACCTGGAACAGATACTTCCACTGATGTTTCAGGTTGTAATCTCCAACGCTGGCCACCTAAATGAAACATATCATTTAACACTGGGACTTCTGGGCCAGTTAATCCTGAGACTTATGCCTGCAGAAGTGGATGCTGCAGTGGCCAAAGTCCTTTCAGCCAAACATAATTTGTTTGCTGCGGGAGATGGGGCTGCAGTACCAGAAGGCTGGAAAACAACTCATCTTCTGTTCAGTCTGGGAGCTGTGTGTTTAGACAGGTGCTTTTACTTTAAACCTATTAGTTGCTCTCTGATGACTAATACTAATTTGCTTTCATGTGTACCTCGTGCATAGAGGCTTTTTAATAGAAAGTCAATTAAACCTCTACCCTGATCATGGAAAGGGCTTAGCATCTGCAGGCCTTGGTGCAGTGAGAACCTTTTAATTTCCTTTCAAAAGAAGGAAATTTGTTGAATAGTGGCTTAATTTCCTGTGCTTGCCTACATAGCATGTTATAGTGGAAGAAGTAATGTTTAGAAACTTTGAGGAAAACCAGAATACAGTCTTATATGATTGTTTTAATGACATTCTTTCCCATTGAATTACTTACCTCTTGTGTAACTTGGGGAAGGAGGAGAGGTGTGCCATGTGGTAACTATAACCAGTGCTGTGTTCAGGATCTGGCCCTTTTATGTAAGTATATTAGGGGAGATTTTTGTATGACAAACTTGCACTGGAAACAGCAAGGAGGGGCAGAGCAGATGTTCCATTTTGAAGGCCTTGAGAAAGCTCTGATGCATTCTAAGATTAATGTCATGTCTGTTAAAAGTGACAGTGTTATTTTTCATTGTAGCTGTGTTTCACAGGGAAGGTTCATAAACAAACAGAAAGTGTATGAAATTCAAAGGCAGAATATCCAAAGAATTAGCTGAGGGAAAGGATTTTTCTCAAAGACTAACTTTAGGGTAAGGAGGCCATTATTTCTGTAGCCCACAGAGGGAGGGCAGGTAGTCTTGTACATAGGAAATAAACCACTTGCTGTTGTGGAATGAGAAACTTCTGAGCTCTAAACTAAAAATGGGAATTAAAGGTGACAGTGTTCAGGCACACCCTGATTTGGGACTGTGAACCCTTTAAGAAAACAGAATGCTATTTATGCTCTAGTGATGAGAAACAAAACAGAAGTCGTGTGAACTGACATGAAAGCTTCAAATACTTGAAAAAACACATAATGGTATGAAAGCTACAGCTATGACATTAACAGTACTGTGCTGTCTTGAGAAAAAATAGTTGCAGGTAAGACTGTAGTTTGCCCTCCTAATACAGACTGCTTTTGCTTTTCAGTCGTGTTGGTCTGGACTG